CAAAATTTACAATAGATACTGTGAAATGAAAGGGGAGGAAATGGCTAAAAAGGGAAGGAACAATTGGGATGGAGGAAAGGAGAAAAGAAAGAAGGGAAAAGATTATACACACACACACACACACACACACACACACACACACACACACACAAGATAGTTATACTACTAATTTCTGTTAGTCCAACGAAAGGAACAGTTTGTGCTTTCACTGCTGGATCATTTTTTCATGCATATGTTTGATAATCTGAACAACTACATGGAAAACAATAATATGCAACATAACTGTTGTTAATTCCCTATCATTCTGTGTTGAAATTCTGTATCGTCTTTTTTTCATTTTAAATTCTAAAAAAAAGAACAAGCATCCCTTGTGCCTCCATTGTTTCGGTGCAGTTCTATGGTCCTTCTTCCTTTCTTCTTTCTCCTCCTTATTTCTCTAATTCTTGTCTTCTTCATTGTCTTTCTTCTCTTCTTTCCCTCTTTTTTCTCCTTTTGTTTTTTGTATGTAAAGATAGGGTCTCATTATATAATTCAAGCTGGTTTTGAAGTCAGTGTGTAGCCCTGGCTGACCCCAAACTTGTGATCCTCTTGCCTCAGCCTCCTGAGTGCTGGGACCCCAGGCATGCCCCACGCGTCTGGCTTCTAAAACACTCAACAGACTTCTCTTTGTGCATTCTGCATTTGTGTTCAGAAGCTGCTGGAGTTTCATCATTTTCAGTGCACTCTGAGATGAAGCTAGAACTTCACCATGACCTGAAACAAAGCTGTACTATCCACATGTCAGGACCGTGCCTCCAGCCTGCACCCAGCTCTGAGTACAAGTTCAGAGAAGCTGCTGCAACCCACATTGACCTAGTCTTCAGCCGAATCTGGGCACCACACTGGAATCTGTTAAGACTGTGCATTGCTATCCCGTAACAGGTAATTATCATACACAGAGACGTTTGCAAGGGATGATTGAAAACTATGGTGAATGCTTAAATTAAAAAATTACACTATGAGGTGGTGTTGATTACTTTTCTATTGTTGCTGAGACAAAACACCTGACACCTAAAATTAAGTAAGGAAGTTTATTTAGCTCACAGTTTGTGAAGGTTTCAGTCTATACTCAGCTGGCTCCAAGACAGGGTGGCCATGGCACACAGGGGCAATACTTCCAGGACAGAAGACAGCAAAAGCAACAAGAGCAAAATGGGGTGGGGGTGTTGGTGGCAGGGAGGAGAGTAAGCCTCTTTTACTCCTTTATGTAGTACATAGGTGGCTCCCTTCCAGGGTGGTGTAGCACTCACAAAATCGCCTTGCCCTCTTGCACAGGATGAGAATGTTTACAAAGAACCCTGGCTCCCTGCTCAGTCCTTTAGTTAAACTTCTAAACTTCTTAAGTGGACACAATGTATCAACCATTACAGGCCCATTATTCTTGCTTCTGACACATCTATTCCATTGTTTCCTAAGCAGTTCTGGAAGTTCTCTTTCACTATTGTGTTTACAAAGTGATACAAATTACAGTGGATGTTGCTGACATGTGCCATCCAATGGAAATGCAGGCTTGTAAAGACATTCCACTGTATCCTCCTCCACCTTATTCCCCAGATTATTGTGACTTCTAGCTCTTCCCTAGAGTCAAATGACCACGAAAGGTAAACTTTTTGAATCAATTCAGGACATCCAGGCAGCCAAGATAGCATAGCGAAAGACACTCACAAAAGTGGGTTTCCAGAGCTGCTTCAGAAAGTGGCAAGAATGATGGGTTTTGAAGCGTGTTTGAAGTGAGGGGTAGTATTTTGATGAGAATTAATGGCAATGTGTCTTTACTGTGATACACTTTAAAAAATTTAAACATATGTTTTGATGATATTTCATAGGTGATTTTAAAATAAATTCTGTCATGCATGTTCCACCAGCTCCAACTTACAAAGGCACTGAAGCTCAAGATTGTGCTATTCAGTGATGTACACTGAATGTTGAGCTATTGCTTGTGTCTCTGTTCTCTGCTATCGGGTGCTTTTTTTCTAGAGGTGCCAAGCAAGGGAGTGACTGTTCTTTGACCCCAGTTTCTCCATATGTGAAGAATGGAGAACAATCCATGTCTCTCAGCTCCTAAGAGTGGTGCTGAAGGTCAGGTGGACAGCCCAAATCACAGTGAGGTCCACAGGGGTTGGTCACTATCTCTGCAGGAGCTGTTGGGAGAGCTTCGCTGGCCAGAATTTCAGGTCTGGCTCTGGGGACCTTGCAGAACAGTGGTGATTCCATACCAGGATAAGATCTGATCGTGCCTGCATTGCCACAAGGGAAACAGATGGTTTGGGGAAATCCAATTTTAGAAGAAAGAAATTGAATTAGCTTTCCAGGGGCCTGGTGGCCAAGACTTGAGTGGAGACAATTACATTAGCTGCTCGGGCCTCACCAGGCCAGCAGGAAGACAGGTTGGGTGGGGTAGGAGGTACCTGGTCACATATCCCTGGGTGGGCTCAACTCACAGCTGAGGAGCAAGAAAGGACTTAGCTTGGTGGAATGAAGCCCTTAGACTCCTGATGATCCCTGGTGGGGACCCACGGGCTGTGGCTGACTCTGCTTTCTGACTGCTCACATTTCTCGATGCTCTCTGCAATCTGCATAAAACCAAAGGTTGATCTTGTATTTCCATAACTGGAACAATAGGTAGCTTTAAATACTCAAATGGAGAAGGGATGTAGGGGCACAGCAGTAACATGATTCAAGGATGCTAGCCCAGCTGATTTTTTTGCATATGAAGTAAAACACACCATACACAGAGTTTACCTTTTTTCTTTCTTTCTTTTTTCAGTACTGGGGACTGAACTCAGGGTCTTCCTGCCCAACTATATCCTGCCCTTTATTTAGAGATAGGGTCTAAGTCTCTAAGCTTTCAAGACTGGGACTGAGTTTGCAATCCTACTGCCTCAGCCTCCTACAGTGCTGGGATTACAGGTATTCACCACCATACCTGGTTCACTGTTCAGTGGCACTAAGTATATTTGCACAGTTGCACAACCTATCTGGTTCTATAGCTTCATTATTCCAAACAGAAATTCTGTACTCATTAAACAGTTTTTCTCCCTTCTCTCCATCTCCTGGTTGCCTTGAATCTACTTTTTGTCTGTAAATTTGACTGGAACTAGAGGATGCTTGTTCTTTTTTGTCTATTTCACTTGGCTGAACTGTAAGATTCATCCTGATGTTCAGAAGGCTGTTGTTTCCAGGCCAAATAATGTTTCATTGTATTAATCCATTGGGTCCTTAGGGGGCCGCTACCTCTTAACTATTGACTCAGGTTGTAAATGTGGCTGTTTTGGTTTCTGAATATAATGGTATGAGGAACTTTTTCCCCCAAGCACTGGGGATTAAACTGGGATATATTTCCAGTCTCTTTAAAATTTATTTTGAGGCAGTCACATTAAATGGCTCAGTTGTCCAGATTGTGCTTAATTTGTGATTCTCTTGCCTTGGCCTCCCAGAGTACTGGGATTACAGATGTGAATACCACCATGCCTGACCATTCAGGGACACTGAAAAAAATGAGGCTTTATTTGCAAAATGCAGAACAGCTATCTGAGGAAATGGTCCATGCATATAACACAACTTGATCCTTTTACTTACTCCCCACACCTCCTCTTCCCCTCTGCCGTTCCAACAAGTCATTCAGGGACATTTTGATTTTTCTTTTATCTTTTTTTTTTTTTTTTTTTTTTTTTTTTTTTTTGTGGTACGTGTCATGGTTTGTCAGATGGTTCCCCCTCAAGTCTTATGCAATTGTGGACGGGGCTGAATCTGGTGTTGGTGATTGGTTTGTTGCCTGGTGCTGGGATTGATGGTGTGGGTGCTGCATTTGCCCAGGAGTGGAGCCAGCATACAGTATAAGGGCAGGAAGGAGCTGTGTCTTGTTCTCTTTCCCAGTTCACGCTTTGCTGTTTGTGGTGGCCATGAATGGCTGCTTCAGCCATTGCCATTTTGTCTTGGAGACAACTAAATACAGACTGAAACCTCCAAGAACTGTAAGAAATAAACCTTCCCTTCCCTAATTTTGGGCATCAGGTATTCTGTCTAAGTAATGAGAAAAAGGTAACCAAGACAACCAGGAATCAAACTCATGACTTCACACTTGCCAGGCAGGCACAGTGCCTCTGAGCTATATCCTTAGCCCTCTTTTCTCCTTTTTTAACATTAAGAAAGTTTAAAATGAAATCAAGGAGTGCTAAATAAAAATAGGCTTCCTGTGCCCTGCTCTTCCCTCTCTCTGGTAGCCTCCTGCCTGGCTCGAGTGTCCACTGCATTTCATTGCAGGCATCTGAACTACATTTCCCAGAATCCCCCTTGCTGGGCATCCCCCTTTGAGGGTGGGCAAGGAGAGCTTTGTGGGAGGTTTGGAGGGAAAAAAAATCACAAGGCAGTTGGCTCCCAGGAGAGTGTGTGTTTAGCTCCTTGATCACGGGCTCTGTCCCTGTAGGTCTCATACTGTCAGCACCAGAGAAGACAAGGAGCCGCATTTTTTTATTGCCATGAGGACTAACTTGTGCATGGGGCTCCAGCTTGTTCCTAGTCTTGCCTTAATGGGCATTCTCATCTATCCTTTCAACCTTCCTACAGAGATGACTTAACAAGCTCCAGTGATTGTGGAGGGTCTACATCTGGGGACAAGTGCCCACACACTGACTGAACCCTGGTGGGTACACAGTCATTCAAGTCATTCAAAGAGCACATCTTCATGGATAAGAACAGAGCCTGTGCTGGGGGCTTCCTTGGTAAGTGAAAGGAAGTCCCTGTCATCCTGGGACTCAATGTACTTTTGTGTCCCCAAGACAAAGCCCACTACCAGTGAGTCAGGATTATGGTGTAATCTTGGATCGAAATTTCTCATCTCTCCATGCCTTGATTTCTTCATTAGGAATGGTGCACAAACACAGAGTAAAGAGTAACCGAAAACATTTGAAAACAGTATCACTCTACAAAAAATTAAGGAAGCAAAAGCCAAAAGCCAGTCCTGAATATTATCATCATCTTTTATTATGTATCAAATTGTCTTCAATATAAGTTACAACCTGATTAAGTTTGATAGACATTTTTATCCACTTAAAGACAAAAAAGTTCTCTTTATGTACAATATCTTTTTGTCTAGAGTCTAGCAAATATAGTACCTTTCATTGCAGGGTTTATGTTTAATAAGCAAAAATAAAGAACTGGGAAACAACAACAGCAACAACAAAAAACGAAAGCAAACCAAAACCCCCAAGTCCCCAACTACAAATGTCAATAGTGAATAAAGCATTAAAAAGACAAACATAGAACTTTTGTTTAGAAATGCAAAATGAATACTAAAATTAGTGGCAAAAACAAACAACCCCCAATACAAAAAACAAAACAAAACAAAATAAAACAAAACAAAACACTCAACAGTCTTCAGGAGTCAATTTTCCTGTTTGGGAAATAGGCAGACTCTAGACTATCCCTCGGTCTCTGCGGATCGCACAGCACAAGATCATACTGAAGATCATGCCAAATATCTGCAAGACAGAACAGGGCATTTGGCCTCTGGGAAGGAAAGCGAAACACCAGCTGTTTGGTCTGAGATGGGTTCCTTGAGGTCGTGAAGGGACAGGGAGGCTGGATAGTGGGAAGTATCAATTCCCAGTCGACACTCAGCTGTTAGCAAGCTGCCTGGGAACCTTGTCTGCAGATCTTTCACAGTGAGACTGATAAATACAGAGGTTGATTCAAGTTTGGATTCCCGGTATTTCAGTAGGAGGGCATGCTGGGGATCGAACTTGGGGCCTCTTACATGCTAGGCAAGCCCTCTGCCACTGAGCCACACCCTCAGCTGAAGGTTAGTACCTCTGCTTTCATCTTGGTGATGTATGTGTGTCTAAAAGTTTACTTTAAAAGGTATTAGTGTGTTGCTTTCTATAAAGCTGCTTCAAGCCTTTATTAGCTGCAGAGGAGCAATGTGAGTCACCACTAAGAAAGAATGTCAGTCTCTTTTGGGACTGGCCTGAAAGGGACAGAGGACAGAGAACAACGCAAGACTGGGGTTTCAGTGAAAAGGACTGTCCCAGTGGAGCTCCCCGCATGCCTCCACTGGGAAAGAGCAGGGTGACCCCAAGGAGTCTGGCTGGCCCTTGGTGGTTTCTGGGGTCTGATGGGCAGCAGAGTGGTATATCGGAGACACCCAGTCTTCCTGCTGGCTGTATTACCTCTGGGTGCTCTTCAAATATGGGAGAAAACGAAAACTCTAGGAAAATGCTTTCTCGGGGTGCATGGGGGACAGGCTTGAGGAGCAGCTGCAGTGGCAGCCCTTACATTCGCCTTTGACCCTCAGTGTGAAGAGAATGGGCTCTGGAAACACCCTGAGTTGACACAGCTGAGAGGCTTTGATCGATATACTCGACCTGTCCCTTTCCTTTGTGTGGGTGCTGGGTCACTGTGCTAGCACGAAGCCACACCCCAACCCCTACTACCTAGAAGTAAAAGGGAAATACTAAAAGCTCCCACCTTGTAGGGAGTGCCCGGCCAGAACTTGTGCTCAGTAAGCATTACCAACAATGAAGACCAAAGACCAAAGACGCCCCAGTACTCACCATCACCACAGCAATGGCAATGCCCACTGCACCAATGATGTGGAATTTGTTGTCAAAGACCTCTTTGATGGCCTGAGGGCAGGGCTAGGGGAGGCAAAGGAGACCTAGGTTACCCACAATCCCCATTCTGTGGGTACCTTGCCCCCATGCTCCAGTCTCACACAGGAAACCCTCATGGTTGGAGACTGGGTGTGTTCAGGGAAAAGAGATGTCCTGGCTGCTGGATGGGATGGGACCCAAGAGATATGGCAGGTGGGTCCCTAATCTCTGGGTGAGACCGGAGATAAAGGTTTACCTCCAGACTCACCTGCCCTCATTGCTGGGGATGGAACCCAGGGCCTTGTGCATGCTGGGTAAGTGCTGTCCCCATGGGGTGACATTCTGAGCCCAATGGGGCCTAGATCTGCTATGGCTTGAAGATCCATTCTATTACTCTGGAGGCTGGAGAACAGCATACGCTCAGGAACTGTTCCCAAGTCTAAAACACAAGAGTCCAACACTCTGGTGCCTTGTGCTGATAGGCAGAGGGCCAGGGGCCAGGGCAGCTCTCTGTGCCCAGTGCCCATAGGGTATTAGGGCACTGTTGCCAATCTGGTTTGGCTTTTGTTTTGCTGCCCTTTGAGAAAAGAGGGCCCAGAGCAGAGGAGAAATGGGGTGGTCTCCCGGGGCCCTTTTGGCTGGAAGGGATCCTCAAGAAGCACTCAGATGCCCATCCTTTCAGAATCTGGCCGAGACACAAGAGAAGGGCACCAGAAGCTCATCCTCAGTTTACCTTGTATTTGAGGTTGTTGAGGATGCCATCACTGGGGCAGATGTCCGAGATAAACTGTTCTATGCCCCCAGCTACACCACAGCAGTCCAACTGCAGAGAAAGCAGGGATGGAGAGTTGACTGGAAGAGGTGTCTTGGCTGGGTGCAGCTAGCAACCTGCCTCCGACCCCTCTGCCACCCCCAGGAGGGCCGCGGTCCACAGGAAGGCCGCCTACCGCTTTGTGGATGACTTTCAGTGTTTCCCGCTGGAGCTCGTCCTTGTTTCTCAGCTTGGTATAGGTGTCAATGTAAAAGTCTTGGAGGCGCTTAATCACCTACAGGGGACAGATGAACAAGAGACAGAGATGGCTTTTTCTCCTACGTCTTCACCTTTCACCAGCTCTTCCCATCCACAGTCTTCAAATCCTCAGCCAACGAATTCCTGTACCCGGAAGATGCCACCGTAGATCAAAGCACTAATACTGCCTTTCTCAGGGCCACCGTGGCCTTCCACTCCCTCTGGTCACTGTGTTTTTCTTTTGCACCTATGATGGTCCCTTTACCTCTACTCAATTCTTTCCCTTTTGCCTGTTAATGAAATGGAATTTCTTCCATCAAAAAATTTTTGAAAAGATTTTTCCTACTCCTGACCTGACTCATTCTTCAGGCTTCTCTGGTTTTCTTCAACATGACTTTGGGCAAATTATGAAAATCATTCTGCACATCTGACTCTGCATCTGTATGGTAGGGGACGGTAACAGTCGCAGAGCTCACAGATTATTGGGAAGACTTAGGCGAGACTTTGCATGTTCTACTGCTAGCGTCGAGCCCGGTGCAGAGCAAATGTGGAAGCAGTGTTAGCTGGGATATTAAACCATAGAGGTTAAAATACGGCACATCTGTCTCCTTGACCTTCACCTAACCCAGTGAACAGACACGCTCTGGCATTTTTCTTTCATAATTATCCCTTCCTTTTCCTATGGCTGCGGCTTTCGTTGCTTGGTTAATTTATTTTCCTTTTAAAGCAGGGTTCTTGTCTCTGGGATCTCTTTTCCTGTCCCTTCACTGATGAACCAGACAAGATGGCCCTTCCTGGCTCTGAGCTCTCCACAGCTCCCTGCAAAGTATGAGCTCTGCTGGGCTCAGACCCTTCCTCTGCCAGGAAGTCTCTGCCGCCACCCACGTTCTTCCAGTGATCTCTTCATGAATTGAGGGTCTAGGCCAGCACTCTCTTCTTCATGAAGCCGCCAGAGAGTCCCCTTTCCCTCAACCTCTTTCCAAATCCTATAGCACTTTCAGATATAAATCACTTCTATGACGCTTGTCAAAAGCATCCTTTTCCCATACTTAATGACAAAGTTCAGAGAGGGGGGACCACAGCTTGGGGCTCTGTGGACTCTCCATGATAGTGCAGTTGGCTTGTGGTGGCACCTGAACACATATATATAGATTAGAAGAAGCGAGGGTGCTTCCATCAGCAGAAAGCCATAGTTTCTGGAATCTTCCAAAGGGTTAGGGGTGCTGAGTTGTGAGACAGACACACAAAATCTCCCCAGTGGAGAGTCCTGAAATGTGCATGATGTGCCAGCCTCGAGGTTGGCACATCAGCAGGGGGCATGATGTCACACACTGCCTTGGTGGACTGCATGTGCATGGCTGAATGGACAGCTATGTTCAGTGGCTGAAAGCCAACCAAAGGGACCAGCCAGCACTCTCATCACTCTCTGCCCCCCAACTTTCACATCCTGATCACTGCAGGACCCAAGAGTTCATGGGGGAAATACTTACCTCATCCTTGTGGGTGAAGCCCCAGGCGGCTGCAGCTACTTCAATACCGAATATCACCAAGAGGAAGCAAAAGAACTAGAAAGCAAAGAAGAAGGCGTGAGGAGTGATCCCACTCAACCTGTCAGAAAAAAGAAGGGGTGTTTGGGAGAAGGAAGAATGAAGCTATCTGGGTACCCATAGGGGGAGCCTACAAGAGCAAACGGAGTCACACATGGGAAGGGCACCCCTCCCAGAGCGGAGTGAGGCCCCAGCATGGACACTTAAGGGTGTTAGTTAGCACTCACAAAACCCACTGAGATTTGGGGAAACAAAGGCAGTCAACACACACTGTGGGGTTTGAGGAAGACAGTAACAAATTTTAAAACAATAAGGAAAGAAAGTGAAAGTACCTGTGGATTCAAGGAAAAAAAGCAAAATGGTTCTCAAGAAAGGGATAAACAAGGTCTTGACATTTAGCTGTCTAAAAGAATGATAAGAATGGCTCCAGAAAGGCACAGGAGTGATGCCTTCCATGGAGAGAGGCTTGGGCCACCCAAAGATGACGGCTGGCTAGGATCACAGTAAGATGGCAGCTGTCTAGGGCCTGAGGGAGGTACACGAGAGGATGAGGAAACTTTTGCTACGGAGGCATCTTCTTTATCCTGCCTCATTGTGCCTATTCTAACGATGGGATCGGCTGGGAGGGAGGAAGGGAGTGGGGCTAGGAGTCAGACTAGCCATAGCGAACAAGGAAAGGGTACTCACCAATCCCAGCATGCACTGCGACTCCTGGATCGCACCACAGCAGCCCAAGAAACCCACCACCACCATGAGGACCCCGGCTCCAATCAGAATGTAAACTCCTGGGAGAAGAAAGAAAAGAGCACATAATGAAGCCATTAGTCTGCAGGCCCAGGTTTCTCCAGTTTCTCCCTTTTCCTCTGTGTGACTTCATGTTACCTTAGGGAAGAAATTCCTTTCCTTCACAAACAGTCTCCTCTGCTTCTGCTCCTGTTCCCAAACAGAGTGCTGTCAGAGCACGCAGAAAGGCCGTGGACACCCAGATGTCCATGCTCTGGGAGGCCAGCTCTGCCTGACTCTCCTCAGGCCACCCCTGTGCCCAGCTGTTGAGCATGTGTGGCTAGAACACCCAGGGCACATGCTGGCAAAGGGAACTACCTTGCTCTAGTGCAAAGGACACTTATCTGGGTATCAGAAAATCCTTATTTTCTTCGTCCTTCCTAGTAAAATTAAGAAGGTTGACTATTAGAAAATTTCAAGACATCCCTATAGTACTAAGGAGAGCTGACAGCTGCAAGGCAGTTACTCTAGATAAAGGTTGAAAAGGATCTTTTTTGCTAAGAGAAGGATGAGAAACACCAACACTAGGCCTTCAAGTGGAGAGGATGAGGGAGAGGCAGTGGAAGGGCAACGACTTCTGCAACTCTTCTGTTCCCAACACAATGCAAATTCCCAGGACAGGGGGCCCAGAGGAACAACCCTGGCCTCATTCATTCCATACTATGCCAAGGGAATGCCCAGAGGGGCTTCTCTCTGGTCATATTGGGAAACCACAGCTGTCCTGCAGGGACTACCCCTGTGCAGTGACAACACCTGAACAATGTCCCCCCCTCCTAAAGGCCCTGTGTGAACCACAGCAGAAGCCCCAGCATCCCTGTCTTGTAGGCACAATCAGTACAATGTTGGGAGGGCTCCTGAAATATCGAGAGCTCAGAATATCTAGGTTTGAAAGCTCTGTGCACATCTCTCTGTGCAAGGTTTCCTTCCTTCCTTCCTTCTTTTTTTCTTTTCTTTCTTGTTTTAACCTGCAAAACAGTTGGGCTGGAGGTATAGCTTCATTAGAAAGCACCAACTTAACATGTGAAAGACCCTGGCTTTGACCCACATGCATGTGTACACACATACACACACTCTTACACAAATAAGGAAGGGTTAACAGTGCCAAGTTCAAGGACTGCTGAGAGTGTTAAATGACATGATCCACATTCATGATCAGTGCTAGCATTTACTAATTTCAATAATCCAAGAGATAGGTAACAAATTATTAATAACCACAGCAATGGATTTTATACTTAATGTTCTTTCCATATTGTCTTTTAACTGGGGCCAGAGAAACTCCCTTCCAGGGCTGGAAATGAGGGGAAGATGCGCTGTCTCTTCCGTGAGACACAGCAAGATACGTGATTGGACTTCTCAGCAGGTGACCCAGGGACCTCACCTTACAGTGACCTCAGTGTGGGGCTGAGGCTGTGCGGGGACAGACCTCACGGTCCACCCACCTGCAGCTGAGCCGCAGGGGCAGCACTGAGCAGAGTACACAGGCAGCGTTTGTGCCTCTCCCTTCTCCCCCACATCTGCTGTGATGTCAAGTCACGTGAGGCTCCTGGCAAACCCCAAGTTGAATGAATATGGGTATTGTTCCTGTGCACACCCAGCCCAGACTGGGCAAGGGGACAAACACAGCTTGGCCTCGAGTCATCCCTTGGGACAGTCAAGTGCAGTGGGGCCACAGGCTGAACATGGGGATTGTTTCTTTTGGCAGCACAGCCCCATGCATTGGGCCCTGGAGGGGCCACCTCCTTGCGCTCAGTCCTAACATGAGGATGCCAGCCAGCAAGGCAGTGGGACAGCTCCATCTCTCCCCATCTCATAGGGACAAGACACCTCTGTGAGCACCAGAGCAGGCGCTGAATAACTGAGGGGTGCTAAGAAATCAAAACGATTTTCAAGCACACCAAGTACAGCTGGGAAAGAACTCAGATGTGTTTTCTCTGCATCCACATCCCAGCATGGAAGGCTGGTGAGCCAGGCAGGAGCCAGCTAATAGGGTCAGCAGCAAGCGAGCTACAGCAGGAAGGAGCATTTCCCATGCAGCGAGCGAACCTTCTCTTAACAGGCCTCTGGTTCGTATGAAAATATTCATTCTAGGGCTCTGCAGAGGAAGACTTTAGAATAAAAGGGCTCACTGGCTTTAGGACTAACTTAGTCCTCCCCAGGGAAGGGTGAGGGTGAGCAGCACCCAGGAGCCAACAAGCTGCAGGGTGGGTGGTCGTCTGGAAGCCAGGCCTCCGTTCACAAGCAGTCAGACACTGCAGGGCCTACCTGGTGGTGGCTTGGCTTGTTTCCTTGTTTTGCTGGGAAGGGACCCAGGGCTCTGTGCAAGTCAGGTTCTCCCCCCCCTCCCCCTGAGCCACACCCCAGTCTTAGTTCGCTCATTTCCCTTTGGGAAAGCTGCTTTCGGCTGTGCCCCAGGCTGCTTAGCAAAGGCTGGTGGTGCTAAATGACAAAGTGTTCCTTCCCCTCTATAAAACAAGTGAATGTTAACTTTCTGTCTGACTCATGGAAAAAAGTTACTCCTCCCAGGCCTTTTCTAGATTATCACGTTCAATGGTTTAAGGGCTGTTTATCCTGCTTTTTTCCAGCCTGACATTATGGGTCTGGTAAAAAAAAAAAAAAAAAAAGAAAACAGAACGAAATAAAAAACAAGACTAAGTTGCCGTAGCATACTCCTGAGTACCCTGTACACAGAAAGGGAGCCTTGAGCCCACCCCGTATCAGGGCCCTCAGCGCAGGCTGAGGAGCACACAGCAGCTTCCTGCAGTGACCCAACGCCACCTCAAGAACGGAACTGTGGGGAGTGCGACAAACTCTGGCTGTGCCTCCAGGCTCTTGGAGGCTACTTACCTCCTCTAAGTGGGCCAATCAGAGGTTCGCAGGAACCTGAACTCTGCCCCACAATTGTTCCCTGGGCTCCTTGTTCTGAATACTAAGCAGTGCAGGGCAATCCCACTTGCTAGGCACAGAGTCTTTTGCAGAGGGGCGGCCACATGTCAGCTATGCCCACATCAGGTGAACACAGAAAACCAAAGGGCACAGGAAACCAAACCAACTGCTTCAAGTCACAATTGAGGTGGAGAGGTTTCCTGAGGGGAAGTGCTATGGGTCTGGGAAATCACCGGGCACCCATTTGTACACGGGGCTGGCCTCAGGAAGGGGTGGACAGCCAGAGCCTCTGGCTGGAGCTCCTTAGGTTCCCTCAGTGGCTTTGGTCTTGCAAGGCTATCAAGGAGTTAAGAAGAGCTGATGGCTTGTAACCAAGAAAACAAAGTTCACCAAACCACCCCGGATTATAGATATTGCTGACAGGCTGAATCTCCCCGGCCTACACTTGGGAGAGGGCCCATAAAAGGGTGTAGGCTGTCCTGGGCTTGCTGTGAACTCTTCTAAATATTGGAGAGGTTTTCTCTGTGCTTCTCCGCAGACATTATATCCCTGTGCAAGGGACGGCGAACCCCATGATGTCAGGCCAGCAGCCAGCGGGTAACTGGCACGCCTGGCTCCTCAGCTGGGAGAATGGCTATGGGGTCACACAAAAGCCTGGTCTCAGCCCTGTGGGCACTAGGATGCAGACAGTGACGCCTCATTGGCACTTCGCCCAAGGACAACAACCACTCAGTTTCTCGGGCAGGGTCCAGGCAGAACCCGGTGGCTACTTAGCTTGCTTACATCTTAGGGTCACCAGCATCACCCCACCCACCCACCCCCAGTCTCCAGGATGCTGTAAGCAGAAGACACTACAAAGCTGAAGCCGGGTGTGGTAGTGCACTCCTGTAATCCCAGCACTCGGGAGGCTGAGGCAGGAGGATCATTGCAAGTTTGAGGCCAGCCAGGGCTACATAGTGAGCCCAAGGCCAGCCTGAACTGCATAGTGAGACTGTCTTGAAAAGACAAAAACAAAACAACTACATAGCTGAGTCCTCTGGCCTAGGAGGAGTTCCAGCTGCAAAGTATTTGCAAGGCTCCTCGCCTCACCTAGACTGCCCTCTCTCTGGACTGTGCCCCCCACCCCATCACTTCAGGAAGATACTCACTACTGAGCGGACCCCGTGATGACCTGTAGGATCTGAACCCTGAAGCCCTCTTTACCTGTATGCCTGTCATCTTGCTGTAGCCTTATACAGCTTTCCCCCTGTCATCTGTGGGACAGGCCCAAGGCATGGGGGCTTTTCTCCCCCACCACAATTTGTGCCCCCAAACCCTCACCTTGCTTCTACTAGTGGGAAACACTGGATCTGTGCAGATTTTAAAAATTCTCACATAGGGATCTTCACTATTTAGCCTCTAGGCTTTTCTTTCTTTGTCTCTGACATAGGATTCACTCTGCGCAGAATCCTGAGGATTGAACTCTACAATGGAAAGTGTGTGAATTCAATAGACAGGGGCTAGAAAGGCTAGCACCTCCCACTCCATCTCCTTACCAATGAGACTTTTACCTCTCACATCTGAAAACATCCAGAATTAGCCAAAGAGCTCTGGATAACAAAACACAGGAGCTGGGCATGGTGATACATGGCTATACTCTCAGCTGGGCCAGAGGAGGCGGCAGGGAGTGGTACGTTTAACCCCAGCCCGAACAATTTAGAGAATCAGTAGAACATATCTCAAAATGCAATTATAAACAGGGCTGGGGATGTAACTCAATGCCAGGCCCTGGATTCAGCTTCCAATACCATGACACGTAAAGCACATTACAGAAGAATAATCTGTAGAATAGGGGTAGGGAGTAGCTTAGTTCTCGCATGCTTGCCTAGCATGTGTGAGATCCCGGGTTCTATCTCCAGCACCACAAAAACAAAACAAAAAACCCAAACTGGGTGATGAAGAGCTGCCAGAAAGACAGGAAGGCTGAGGAGCCCTTCTGAGAGACAGGCACACGGGCTCTTGCTCAGGAGTGCAGCCTGGATTGGTGTCCATTCCTGCGGGCAGGTCTGCTGGCCCCAGAGAGCAAGCTCATAGATGTGCATGACTGGGGGTGGAACAGGGCGTCCCCTTGGCTTGCTGTCCCACTCTTCTGTGCAGTGTCCCCTTCTGTCCCCTGCCTCCTGCTCTACAGGGTGGCCACAGCAAACACACAAAATGCTCTGTGGCTAAAACAAGCCAGGGCACTATGGGTACATGCTCCCTAAAAACTGTGTGCATAGATTAAAAAAAAAACAAAAACAAAAAAACCACACTGTGCTTTTCTTTTCTTCGTATTAGGACAATAGGGAGCCACACCCCCAAAAAACCCCAACCAACAAAAAGTAGGAAAACCGGAAAAACTATCCACAGGGCTCAGGTGCTACACAGCCTAACTGTTTTTACAGAGCCTCCTCCTTCCTTGTCCCGGGAGGTGGGAAAGGGAAGGCCGCACGGCTGGCCAGCTGCCACCACCTTGACCCCAAGCCTAGCAGATAAACCTCGTCAGACCGCTCTTTCCATCTTCTGTAAAAATAACTGCGGTGGGTGGGAAGGAAGTGACCAAACTTACATTTGGAGCTTGGTGACATGACAGGCTCATGCTAAAAATAGGGGACTTCTTTTGCTTCCCACAAATGAAATGGTTCCTGCCTCCAAAAGCAGACATAAAGTAGAATCACAAAGCTGGAGTTTGCTGAGAAGCCTGGGAGATGCCTCCAACAAGCTTGCTGCACTCTCCCCTTAGAGAAGCCGATCTGGCGGCAAAGGGGACAGATGGATGCTGGAGAAGCTGACAAAGAGGCTTTGTGTACAAAGAAACCTGCTAAGTCTGGTCGTGCTCCGGGCATCCCAGCTGTGTGCAAGTTGGAAACTTTTCTGCTGAAAAAGGGTGGAAAACAAATTAAACCAAAGCCCACAGCAGTGACCCCTGCACCAGGGTCCCAAGGACTGGGGGGAGGCTCCTCTCTTCCCTACTGACTTCCTTTGGAGGTGCTAGGGATTGAACCCAGGGCTGTGTGCATGATAGGTACGAGCTCTGCCACTGAGCCACACCCACAACACCCCTGACTCACTATCCAGGAGGCTGGTCTTCCTCTGGCTCTGAGTCCTTGTTCAAATACTGGGGAGGACAGCCACCTATTTCTTAATGGCATGGCACAGTCTCTGGACAAAGGTTTCTGTATTAGGAGGAGGACGACGCCTCAGAAGCCCTCATTAGGACAAGCTTCACCACAGCCAAGTTCACATCAGAGAACAGTCAAACTTCGGAGCTCAGCTAGCATGAAAAGAGACCACATCAGTCAGACGCGGCTTCACAGGTTCAACCACACAACAAAGCTGCCCAACTTGAGAGGCACATGGGTACCTCCTGTGGCCAGAGTCCTTCCCAGGGCCCAGCCCCTGATCAGCCGGAAGTCTTTAGACTTAGAGCAAGCCGAAAGTCACCTGTGTAGAAGCTCGAGTTACTGTTAGAATCCTGCTCGAAGATGCTCTTGGTCTGGGTGTCGAAGCGGAGCCATAGTCCAACAGCAAGAACAGCAATCCCGGCAAGCTGCAAGACACACGGGATGTTGATTAATGCTGATTGCCACGGGCAAAGCAGTCCCCAAGTGAAGTGTGAGACCTGACACTTGCAACTTGACACTTTGGGACTACCCTGTCTTTTCTTTCACATGCACATGGTAATATCTGAAGATAGTGGTGTATGTGCGTGATCAATCTATGTGCCAAAAAATATCAGCAATCTGGAGATAATTATCTAGCAAATGGGTACACAGGCAAGAGACAGGCACTAGAGGCCATGGAATACTACATAACAGTGAAGAAGAACGATGCTAGCTGCCTGCAATATTATGGGTACATGTCATAGTGCAAGACAAAAGCAAGAGCCATGAGCACTCATGCAATGATTCCACATAGCTAAAAATCACTATACTATATGGGACACACATGTAATCATATGTCCATGTGCACATAAATGATAAAGGAACAAAAAAGCAACATTCCCAAAGTGAATGGTGACCTCAGGTGGAGGGAGGGATACTTGGGGAAGGACAATAGTGGGTGAGCAGATGTCTAGGGGTGGCAACATTCTCCCTGTGCCCGCCCCTTTTCTGGAATTGAGGATCGCACGTAGGCCTTGGGCTGTACTACTGAGTTCTGTCCCTACCCTCTTCACATGTGGTCCTGGCATGGCCTCCTGCCAACTTTCCCCCAGTGCCAGCTGAGCTCCCTGTTGTCGCCTGTACCAGGGCTCACGGGCGGGCACTCATAGCCTGTGTGCAGTGTCGCCTGCATGTGAGGCTGGGACCAGGTGTTGCGCTGACCCCTCCACAGAGGCACGTTATGTTGGAGCACTGTTCTCCAAGACCGTGGTCTGTGCCCCAACAACTGTCACAGCCCCTCCCTTTCCCTCCTCTCCTCTACCATGTGGCAATGATTCAGACATGTTGGGTAGAGCCTGGAACTGTGGTGCCAGAGACCTCAGCCTGCGATGAACACAACCCAGCCACACCCGTGTGCTGTGAGCTGATCTGGTCCCACTTAAGGCGAGTTCCTGCCAGCCAGCTGTCGCCTCAGTTTCCCCATCTGTACAGCAGCAAGAAGGATATGGCCCTGCCTTGTGTTTCAGGGATGGGTGAAGCAGAAAGATTAGAGAAGCAGCACTTCTGAAGGGGAGGCACTGAATGCCGTTGAGAGAACCTGGCCTCAGCAAAGAGGTCAACTGGAACAGTACCCTCAATTCTAGGGGAGCCACAAAGCACCCTGCATGCCTAGGTCCCCACCTGGGGTAAGGCAATGGCAAAGCTCCATTAGAACTATACAAGGCCAAGTGCCAATGGCTGGATACTGGTGGTGTAGATTCTAGGGCTGGAATGAATTTGAGAATGTTTGGTTCCAAGACACAGAGGAAATTTGCCTTCCTGTTGGTAAGGCACACAGACAAGGGAGGGGTCCCAGCCTCTCCCATCCTGGCCCACCTGGGAGTAACTGTGCTAGCTTATACTTACTAGAGAACCATCCCCAAGTCACCTGTCCCCTCATCAAGTGAAATTACTCACAACCCATAGTCTTCTAGGGAAACTCAAGTCACCAAGAAGGAAAGCATTGCCACCCTCAGGGGCTGAGCTGTGGAAGGTACCATAAAGCTGTGCGCTGTACAGCAAGCAGCATCCCACGGCGGGGCCAGGTCTCCTGGGAATCAGCCCAGACTGGAGGCGAGGCAATAAGGTGTCCAAGGGGAAGCCCCTGTGGGTCTCTCTAGTTTACTTACACTTCCTGGTCTACATGCCTAGGTGGTAAGGACACTAGCTTGTAGAGCTGGACCAGAAGGAAAAGGAAGCGTTCAAGTCTTCCCTTAGCAAGGCCAAGTGCAGGACTTGGGGTCTCGGGTGTCCGGATTCCTCCCAGCCCAACCTCATGCTGCTGGGCTGTCCAAGTCACAACACTGTGGGATAACAAGGATGGAGAAGCAGCAGGCTTGAGGAAAATGGGGGAAGCGCCAATGGATCTCAGTCTTTACGCCTAAAAGTCACCATCAGAAAAGGATTCCAGAAACCCAGAGAGAAGGGACAGCTGGGGTGTGGGACTGGGTCACCCAAATCACAGGTGAGTTAAGTTGCTGCTGTTTAGGACAGAGCCTGGGAGCTGACTAGCCCAAGGGGACACTGCAAGCTACCAGCTGCCCGGTAACGTGACCGGAGAGACTGCTGCAGTTAGCTGGGTTACCCAGGTACGGTGGCAGTGCCACAAACCTGAATGGCTCATAGCTGTTCCACAGCAGTGCCCGGAGCCCCAAGTACTGTATTTCTCAGGGGAACTTGCTTTTTGGGATGGCATAGGGCCTATCACCTCCAGCTACTTTCACAGTAGAGAAACTAAATAAAAAAAAAGAACTAATAACCAGCAATTAGACAGCTTTGACTTTTAAGAAAGGGTACGGAGTCCATTAAGGGATTTCAGAATATAAGCTTAAGGTGTGATTGAAATGTATGCAGGGTGCTTAAGTTTTTAAAATTTATTATTTTAAAGGCACACTGCTGTCAATTACTCTTTGAAATATTTCCTCCCTTGCTCAGACACCTTATCTCATCCTTCTTGCCACTTCCTGAAGCAGCTCTGAAACATCTCTTCTGTGAGTGTCATATGAGGTACGATCAAAAACACAGTGAATCCCACGAGTGCATCCCACGAAAGGTGGCTTGCAAAGACACTACATGTTCCCTCATCCACTGCATGTGCCAGCTGTGATTCCGAGCAACTTCTGCCTCTTTTCTAAAGTCAAAATGACCTACGAAAGGTAAATGTTTTAAATCGATTCAGGACATTGAAGTAGCCATGACAGCACAGTTAAATACATTCACCAGAAGACTTCTAGAGCTGCTTCCTAAAGCAGCAAGAAGGACGGGGTTAATGTGTTCACAGTGAGGGTTCATGGCAATGTATCTTTTACTATAATGCGGTCTTAAAAATTAAACAGTTGCCGTATTTTTAGATCATCCCTCATATAGCTGCCCCTCTATATCAAGAGAAAATGGGTTGGGTCTATGCTGGTTGCATCTGTACTTAACACGTACAGATCTCTGAGTTGTAGTTCCCTAAATAATGCAGTAAAGGCTACACACAGCCTTTACACTGTACCACATCGTATATGCAAATGCCATCATTTTCCATAAGGGGACTGATTATCCTCGGTTTTGGGATCTGTGGCAGGGAGATTCTGGAACCCATTTCCTGTGGCCACAGAAACACACCTGTATGGATGTCCAGGAGGCCCAGGAGTCAACGGTTGCCTCTGAGGTTAACTAACTGATGTGTGGCGGTCACGGGGTCACACAATTGCTGTGGCTGCTGCTCTTGTCCCTCAGCACAGGACTTGAGCAGGGTTGACGCCTGTGCTGTGTTGAATAAGCTGTTGCTCTTGGGGCCCTTCAAAGAGGGTGGCAACCTGCGACCACCAGCTGGTAAGGCTTCAGGGAGAAAAGTTTGGCACCATCACTCATGGGCTGGGCCTGCCCAGTCTGCCTGGTGACCTTGTTTGTTTCCAACAAAAGCCAAATGGAAACAGTCTGGTTTTGCTGGTAAAAGCGCTTCTGCCATCTGGCTCCAAAATGGTTCCAACCACTCAACAGTGCAGGAAGAAAAAAAATAGCTCGTTTCCCATTGTTTTATCGGAAAATTTCTGTTTTCTCACTCATGCTGCCTTTTTTTTTTTTAAAGAGGAAAACATGAGGGCTGGGATTTAGCTCAGCCTTGCAAGTGTGCAGTCGTGAGTTCAATCTCTGCTACGGAAAAAAAAAAAAAAAAAGAGGAAAACATAAAACAACCTCAATCAAGGTCAGCCTATAAAACACTCGGGTCAGTACTCGTCAAAACTGTCACGGTCATGGATAACAAGGAAAGACAGAAACTGTCATCAAGCAGAGGAGGTTCGGGGAATATCCAGCTGGCATGTGACAGGCAGAAAGAGGACAGGGGCTAGGAATATAGCTCAGGGGCACAGCATCTGCCTGGCAAGCACCAGGTCATGAGTTCGATTCCCGGTTTAAAAAAAAAACAACAAAAAAACAAAAAACCAAAAAAAACAAGGACAGGTGTGGGAACACTAGTGACAGCCCTGTGGCCTGTTCAGTTGACAGCCGTGGACCAATACTTGTTGCTAGCTGTGAGTGCGGAATGAGCCAGGCTAACACGAGGCAGAACGATGGGGTGACCCAGGAAGGGGCCCAGGCAGACTCTGCACTGTTTCTGCCACTTTCATGCAGGCCTAACTCTACTCTCAATGTTTAAAAAAGTAGCCACAACAGCTGGGCCCTTGCATCTCTCTCCCTCAAAGCTTCCTGTCTCCTGCTGGGCCCTGCCCTTTTCCTTACCCCCTTTCCTGCCCCTGCTGACAGTGCAAGGATAGCTTTCCCTGCCTGAAAAGACAGACACAGCCCCCCCCCCCATCCAGCCCTGCTCTTCTGCACTGTCCCTACACACCTGCTGTCCTCACTAACCTGTCACCATTCCCCCTCCCCATTAGTCCCCAACAGCGGACACCACTGCATTCTATTTCTTCCTCTCTCAGTGCTGTAAGGGTCCCCAAATCAGCCTCCTGCATTCCAGTGGCCTCTGTTTCCCCAAGTCCCTCCTCCTGAAATGTCACTCCGGCAGCCTAGGCCTGTGCACTTCACACCCAGGACTCCCCAGGCTCCTCCCAGGAGCGCAGTGTGGGAGCACTTGTGCCGCTCAGCTCCTTCAAACCCTGCCTTCCTAGGTCTGGACACTTGCCCTGCATCTCACAGTACACATTCCTTGAAGTCAGGTGACTTCTTAGTCCTGTCTTGCCTGCCCTATCATACCTTAGACAGAAGCATCTCTAAAAAAATAATTACTCAGTAAGTGAACTATGAGTCCAATGACAGAGACCTCTGAGGTCCACCTGGAGGTCTTCTTTTGAGTCCTCTCCCCTTACACAAAAATTTTTTTCCCACCTGGATGTGCATCCATTCCATCATCTCATATCTCACAAGAGTCAGAAACAACAAAGAACAATGACTTGCCCAGAGA